AAAGTATGGACTTTGTTTTAATTTGTGTGCCTACATTCTGTTTAACCAGTATTTCACACACTTTCACAACGTTTCACAATATTTTCTTTTAAATTAAAAAAACAATTAAGAAATTGTATAAACATATTTCAGGAAACATTTAAGATGATCAACCTTAATCTACGTAACTGCTTACCGGGAAAAAAAGGCAAAAACATACTGATTTATTTATTTATTTTAAATCATAAAATTAAGGTAGAAACTCATATTATAGTAAAATGGTTCTTGGATGGGCTGGTAAATAGATATGAATTTAACATCTTTATATCAAAGGCAAGAAAAATATATTGAACGGAGAATGATGCGCGCTGATATAGTGTTCACGGGAGCCTAGTGCGTTCACGTGATGGTATGTACGCTGTTTGCGTATCCAATCCCGAATAAGGGAGCGTTTTCAAGCCAACTGTGAGAACAGCACCTACTAGGGTCACAGAAAACGATAGTCACAGAATTTGGTGTAACACCGGCACCCACAAGAACACTGTCTTTACATTTACTTTTTCTCCTTTTAATTTATACAACTCTTGTAATTTCAATAACTATATCTTGACTACAGTCTGAGTGTTTTGTTTCAATACTTAAAAGAGCAGAATTACAATCTAAGCTAACTAAACTTTCCTTTCATTATCACATCTTACACCTATTATGATGCTAAACTTATTGACAACATTTCCCCAACTTTACCCTAATTGATCTAGTTAAGCCTTAAAATGTCACTAAGCTGAATACTTGCATCTTAAAAAACATGATGATGTGAATTGAACAATGCACCACAAAGTGTTTCACGGACCAAAGAGCCCAACTAAACCAGCCCCTCACTCCATTACGGTGACACAAAAAACACCTAAATTTCTGTTGGATCTTAATCAGATTATGGAAGTCCAAGCAGTCAGTAATAAGTGTGTCTGCTGTTGTTTGTGGAGTTGTTTAATGATCCTCTGCTGAGACTGAAGCTGTTTTATTTTACTTGATTTTATTTAATGCTGTAACTGACGTCACTCTTTATGTTTCTATTTTCTTTCCTTCAGTGATTGTGATTATTAACAGCAGGTGTTCATCAGTGTCTGAATTCACTCATTAGTGTTCATTAACTCTGTCAGGTGAACTATATTGGTGAACTAGTTGATGGAATAGTGAACAAGGGCACAAAGTGTGAATTCAAACACAGACTTCAAAATGTCGAGTCTGAACTCTGTTAGCTCACAGTTTTCTGCAGTTGGTTACTTTCTCGAAAACAAAAATGTTACCCAGAATGCACTGTTTTTAACAGAATATTACTGTTTTAGTGAAAAAACATTATTTTACCATAGAATCTGACCGTTTTTAACAGCAATGTTTTACAGTGTCGCTCCAACAACTGTCACTCCAACTGTTCAGCTACCCTTCACCTCCCTGCATCAGTTTTCAGCAAGCCGTTCTTTGAGCAAGCCGTTTCAGCCATATAGTAAAGACTCCAAAAAAATGTAATCCAACCCAGTCATGGGAGCACACCTTTTTTTGCTGTGCTCTAGTAAACACAGCAGAAATTCCAAGTGTGGAAGAAAGCATGTGCCTCCAGGCAAGTGGACTTGGGGGGAAAAAAAAGTGAGGTTTTTTGATGTGCATTGCACACAACAGAAATTCATAGATATTGCTGCAGATGCCTCCCTCCTCAAACATTCTGGAGGCTTTAAAATAATGTGTTGCTGCAGGAGCAAGCAACTCATTGATATTATTATGTCACCAGATGGTTATTCAGTAAACTTTCTCAAGAACAGAAGCAGTTTGAACAAAGCTGTGGCGTACATTGTACCTCTGCAATGTAACCTTCCTCTTAATGGTGATCATCAAAAGGTAGGTAATGTCAATAACTTTTTGTTGTGAATTATGTGTAAATTTTTCCTTAGTGTTGTTGTGAATTACATTTTAGGAAGACAGTATGGGACAAAGGGAGCCTTTGCAGCAAACATGCGTGAACTGCAAACAAGTAGTTCCACTATATGTTATGGAAAGTCACAGAATACAATGTAACACAAGGTAAGACAGAGTCAATCCTGAAATCCTATGTATTATTGCCAGAGAACGGCTAAGATTTTGTCCACAAACCTTTTAAAGCTAGGAATACTGCTAAATCTAAAGTAACTTTTGGAAATATAACTAACAGTAGGAATAGTATAAAGTACATTGTAATGATCTTCCAATTCAATTCTATTCCCATGTCAATATGGCCATTAGTGAGTAAGGGTCTGTCCTCACCGATTGCATTTTTCCACTCTACCACACGGGTTTACCGTTGTTTTCTATGTGAACACATGGCTGATGGACATGTTTGACTTTTAAGCTTGAGTCTTTAGAAAGGCCACGTATGTGAGCAACGTATTTTTTAGACTGTACAGTCATAACTTATTTTCAGAGCAGTGGGCCAATCAGAAGTAATCATAGGTGGGACAATCGTTGCCAGTTTCTGTTTGCACACACTGTGTGGTGGTTTGCAGTGTAGGCATGCGTGCAGAGGGTGAACTGTGAACCATAACATGCATCACAAACACACATGAACGGCAATAATTTTTCAAAGTCTGTTTTCTTTTTTTCAGTCAATGTCACCTCGTCAAGTCTTTAAATGACACTGTAATGTAAATGCTAGTAAAACTTGTGTTTAATAAAATTAAAAAATGAAAAATAAACATGCGTTTGAAGGCTTCGACTGTTCTTCGGCACTTGCCGACTGTTTGCAAAATTCAAGACCATGGTGTTTCCGAGCGACCAATCCGTTTCTGATTAATAATAGCCTATGCGTAGCCGAGTACAAGTTCAAGTTACTTTATTGGCATGACATTTAGTACAGTATTGCCAAAGCACTGCAAATATGAAATATATTAAAACAATTGAAAAATAATAATAATGATAATAATACAGATAAGGGGCCTGTTTCTGTAAGGAGGTTTAAACAACTCGGAGTTTAAACTTGAACTCTGAGTTGATTTACCGAGAGATTAAAAACTCAGAGTTTTCGGTTTCAGAACAGCTGATCTGAGTTGGGTCAATCAACTTTGAGTAGACCAACTCAGAGTTAAGCGCGCACACTGTGACTATAAAAAGGCATTATCTATGGAGCGCAGATATTACGAGTCACCATGGAAAAATCTGAAAAAAAGAGATCAGCATTTTTTTCTCCAGTGGAACTTGATGTGCTCATGCAAGCCTATGGCAAATATGAGCATATATTTAAAAAAAAAAGCAACACCACTGCATCGGCGAAACAGAGACAGTTAGCGTGGGAAAACATAGCTGCTCAAGTTAATGCGTAAGTTTACATTTAAAATATTTAAAGTATTTGATTATTTTAGCATTTTAAGTACATTGAAGTTTTATTTGAAAACGAAGGTAATTTTGCAGCTATTTATTTGAAGCAGGTGTTATTGCATTACATTACATTAAATAGGCTACTGCATAGTTTCTACAACAATTTTTTACAAAACAAAAATGCATAAGCCTATAACTTTAACTCACTGTTCAGTACAATTTTTTTATTTAATGTTCCGACTTTTACATGCGTTGACCAGTTTAAGATAAACTTTTTAAAATTGACATTTAAAAGTGTGTGTCTGTCTTTTTTTATGAATCGAGAGATAAAGGTTGATATGACATTTAGAATGTAAGCAGTATTAAAAAATAGTTTTTAGAACAAGTAATAATCTCATTAATGTAGTTACAGCACATGTCCCTGTCAAAGGTCAGTTTATTTAAGCTAATTATATATTATAATTTTTGTATTTTTATTTTTGCTATAATATGAAAGGTAAAAATTAAAACTATGGTATTAAATCTAATTGTAATTTTCATGTAGGTGCAATCCTGCAGGCATTAAAAGAACATGGCAGCAGCTGAAAATGAAATATAAAAACATAATTCAATCAGGTAAGGTTTGATAATGTCATAATTTTTTTTAAAAAAATGAAATTTATCATGTAAATGCCAATAAATGTGTAATGGTATTTATGCAGTGCTTTTTTTATTTTTATTTTTTATTGGACGTCTCTTCAGCCAACAGAAAGAAGGCAGAGGCTCGCAAGACAGGAGGAGGCCCTGCACCACAACCCCTTACTAATGCTGAGGAGATGGCCCTGAGTCAGAACACTGGAAGGCCAGTGGCTGAGGGAATACCAACAGGGTGTTCTTCAGAGCCTGTTACTCCCCAGGACACAAGTGCCTACATACAATGTAAGAGGGCTACACACACACACACACAGATATAAATATATATATATATATATATATATATATATATATATATATATATATATATATATATATATATATATATATATATATATATATATATAAATTAATTAATTTACTTTCATTTTTGCATTGGTCTCAATAGATTGTGATGGCAATATCTGCCTTTTGGAGCCTACTTTCTTAACAAATCCCCAGGCAGTTGTAAGTATCCTAATTTCTTGTGTATTGAGTAGGCTAAGTAATAGTATAAAGTGTGCTCAACCAAATGCTCATTTGCTCAGGATGAAGTGGATGATGACACCATTTCTGCTCATACAGAGAGGCCTATAGAGGTAATTTTATGTCTGTAGGCATCAAACAATCTGTACAATCAACTCCTTACATTTTTGTGTTCAGTAAGCTATGTAAGTATCTCTAAGTATAAACATATTCTTGTCTTCCCCATCACCACCTTCCAGAGTGAGGAACAACAGGAAGAGGAGGTGGAGGAGGAGGGTCCATCTACTTCTTCTGCACACATGAACACAGTTCAGTGATGTACAGTAAATGCCAGAGCTTAATTCAATGGAAGTCATGTACAACATAACGTAACCCTAAACTACTGTGTTTTCAGTTACCAGTAAAGCAGTTATATAGGCTGCATCTGCTTAAACAAATTGAAAAAACGAATAAAGAAATTATATACTTGGATCGGCAGATCCTAAAGAGCGATTTGGAAATCGAGATCCTGAAACACAAGCTACAGGTAAGGTGTATATTGTTTTTTAGTGGATTATGAAAAAGTTTGAAAAGAATACAGAAATTTAACAGTTGCTTTTTAATTTGTAGGAAATAAAGAAGACTAAATAAATTGTTGTGACTTGTTGATTTATTTCTTTATTTTTTATTTTTGTGGTGGCTGATTTAATCAGAGAATGAATTGTGACATATAAGGTCTCGGACCACCCTTCCATCCTGGAAATCTGCAGGGTGGATGGGGTCTTCCTCTGGAGCTTGTATGTGTAGGGCAGGATGTGGTTCCCCTCTAAAAATGGCAATATTATGGAGAACTACACATGCCACAATAATGTCGCAGGCCCTCTCAGGGGTGACCCTGAGGTGACGTAGGCACTGGAAACGTGCTTTCAACAGGCCTATAGTCATTTCCACCCTGCCTCTAGTTTTGCAGTGTGCCACATTGAAGCGCTGCTGTGGCCCTTGCTCAGGTTCTGGGTAAGGGGTTAGCAGTGTAGGCTGGCATGGGTAACCCCTATCCCCCAGCAGAAAGCCATCAATCTCCCCTGTAAAAAAAAAAAAGACACATTGGTTTAGTGCTGCATTAAAATGCCCAAGTGTGTAGTTCATACATTAACTTACCACTTTGCAGTCTGTTGCTTAGGGTACACTCACGATATATCCGTGAGTCATGAACAGAGCCAGGCCACTTGGCTTCAACATTAGTGATAATATGTGCAGCATCACATATAATCTTCACAGTGGAAAGAATAAGATATGAGATATAGTATTGCTATGTGTTGTTTAAACAATTTAAACTGCATAACTCAACGTACCTGCACATTAATACTGTGGATTGACTTCCTGTTAACATAGTCTGACTCATTTTCAGTTGGTGCAATGATAGGTATATGTGAGCCGTCAATGCATCCAACCACATTGGGGAATCCTAAAGGTAATTTTAAATATTACAATACTTTCAGAGGTCACAGCAAAATGTTATTAACTAATTCTAATAAATATATATATATATATATATATATATATATATATATATATATATATATATATATATATATATATATATTTCATATTAAATACATTTCAACCAGCTTGAATGCTACAAACCAGCAATTCTGTAAAATTCCTCCTTGATGACTCCCAGGGGTTTGTGGCCAGGAAACACTACAAAAATGTGCAGAAAGCGTTTCAGAGCAAGGCACACTTTCCGTACAGCTCTGCATACAGTAGCCTTACTAATATGCTCCGCATCCCCGATATTGTACAGAAAGCTTCCATTAGCAAAGAAACGTAAAGCTGCACATAGTATCTGCTCGGATGTAAGAGCACGGCCACGATGGGTGACGTTAGTGATGTAAGGACGGATTAGATTATGGATATATGTAATTGATTGCAACGAAAAACGGTACCGCTCAAACAAAAATGTATGTGGAAAAGACAAAAAATCCACTCTGGGTCTCAAAACCCTTGCTCGACGTAAATGTAATTCTCTTCGAATTAATACAGCCTCCTCATCTACGGGATCTTCCAAAAAAGGACAGGCCATTGTTCTTTGTGTGACTGAAATGAAGGTAATGAACGACTAAAGCTAAGGCAAAAAATACCGCTTCGTCTTTAAAAAAGGGGAGGAGACCGACAGAAACTCAGAGTTTAGAGAATAAAACCTGCTCCGGACCAGGTTAGATTCACAGAGTAAGTTACCACAGTAACTGACTCTGAGTTAAAGTTACCTTTCTTTCAGAAACAGGCTTGACTTACCCTGATTTCTCGAGTTTAACAAACCTGCCATTTTGAAACGGAAAACCCAGAGTTTCTCTCATTTCAGGGTTAAAATACTCTGAGTTTTCAGTTAACCTCCTTTCTGAAACAGGCCCAAGGTATAATGACAAAAAACAATACATTTGATAGATATAACAACAACAATAATAATAATAATAATAAAAAGTTTAAATGATTTAAATAAGATACATGAACTTACATTAACCATTTCTTATGGTGTGTAGGGTGTATACATATTTTGCAGCTAGTCTAGATGTCAATTCGTCCTCTCTCTCTCAAGTTCAAGTTCTTTTATTGGCATGACATTCAGTACAGTATTGAAAAAGCACATCAAATATTTATATATATCCTGAATATGTTTATTCAGGAGGTTCCAGTTGTCCCAGAAATTGTTGGAGTCAACAGATTCTTCAATTGTTTTAAGCTGTTTTTGGGTGTACTCTACTTTCTGATTGTGTTTTTATATTTTATTAAGCTCCTCATAGTACCGAAGACGTAAATCTGTATTCTGTGGTTGCCTGTGTTTTTGATTTGCTAATTGTCTTAATTTTTTCCTTATTGTTTTAACCATGACTGAAGTTTTTTTTCCTTCTTCTTCTTTTCAGCAGCAGCAAAAGCCCCTACCCCTCCACAATGGAGGCGGATATGGCTGAGGTTGCCCGTCGCCTCAGCCAGCGGTGCGAGCTGCATCCCAGGACCCAGATGGAATTTCGCAGCTTCTGCGTGGCCACACTAGTGTGGCTACACCGTCTGGGTCATGTAAGCGTTAGGGAGCTTAAGGTAAGGCCAGAGCCAACACCTTTTGAGTCGCGTTCAAAACACTGACTTGTTTGCTTTTTGAGCCCTGTAACAGGCCTCATATCTGTTCTTATGCTCCACACGCACAGGTGCGGGAGTGGCTGGGCTGGCGGCCAGAGGGGGACGCTGTCATTCTGACGCCTCCCAGCGAAGCCGTGAGCCTGAGCCAGAAAGAGGAAGAGGCAAGTTGATCCTAAACAAAGATAATTACCATAAAAAATTTAATGACTAAAACTGTCTGGTGAGAAATGCCAGTGTAGAACATTTTAATCCGTGATTAAACTGATGTCCGCGTATGTTGTAAAGTGTAACATGTCTCGTGTGTAACCTATGCACCTCTCTCTTTTGCCGCAGTGGCTGGAGTTTTATTTCAGGCACGTCCGGCCACTCTGCCTTCAGGCTCAGGCTTTGGGAACGGATGACAGAGGATGCTTCTTCCTGGGAGCGTCAGGACTCCCCCTTACTAACCCCACCGCAGACATCCAGCACCTGAAAGCAAAGCAAGTGTTCTTGTCAGTTATTAATGTTTTTAGCCTGTTATTTTGTGTAAATTTCCTCCCATGCACTTTTCAGGAATTACATATACATGCATACATACTACGATTCTGGCTAAAATGAGAATCGAAATTTTTTGCTTAAAATAAAGATCACGGTTTTCTCATGATTTTATAGATGTAAAATAAAGGTATGGTAAAAACAAACATATGGCACAATATCGATAATAATATTATGTGTAGATCTAAATAGTTCTATTCTGCTTATAATAATTCTGATGTTGAATTATTATGTTTGAGATATATGCTTGCAAATCGGTTATTGATAACATTTTTTGACAGTTTTATTCACTGGTAAAATCAGACATTTGTCATTATTAGATTATATTCAACAATATATAGGCTAGAGTAGTTATACTGACACTGTAAACATTTATTTTCATGCACAACTGTGTGTTCGCTATGAAAGAAAAACATCAAATGCTTGTCATAATCATAACTCTATAATGCGATATGATCATTTAAATGATGTGCACACTTTCGGATTCATTTTGACTGCTGTTCATACTTCGCACGCTGCTCCCAAACGATCACTCTGTGCCACAAACTGAATATTATTTACAACTTTATTACCTGTTACTCGCAACATATGCAGGTTCTGTTAACGAAAGTAGACACGCGCACGCCCTCTCTGTGATAACAGCTCACGGTCTGCAGCTCCCGTCACATGTGATTTCCTGGCCGCGAATACAGCATAATATTAATACAAAAATGACATTTTTAGGTGAATTATACCTTATAAATACCGTATATGACTCATTTAACATCATTTGGAGGTGTCAATGTCACTGAGTAACGTGTGGGAAACAATGAAAAGACTCGTGCAGCCGCCTTTTCTTCTCTCCTGAACTTGAAAATATGATTGACAGAATCGTAGAAATGCTGGATTAAGATTGTCTAGGGCAGGGGTCACCAATCTCGGTCCTGGAGGGCCGGTGTCCCTGCAGGGTTTAGCTCCAGCTTGCTTCAACACACCTGCCTGAGTGTTTCAAGTATGCATATAAGACCTTGATTAGCTGTTCAGGTGTGCTTATTTAGGGTTGGAGCTAAGATCTGCAGGACTCCGGCCCTTCAGGAACAAGTTTGGTGACCTCTGGTCTAGGGGGTTGAATTGAGATCTTGTTCTTTTAGTCCAACTCTAATACAAACATACATACATGCATACATACAAGAAAGAAAATGACCTCATATTCTGTCTGGCCCCAGCCATCACTGACATCTTGCTCTATACATTTCAACAGGTATGTCAAGAGGCAGCCCGCACCGCCCCCTACCACCGCTGCTCGACCTTCTCCTCCGGCTCCAGCTTCTCCTCCAGCTGCACTGGCTCAGCTGCCTGCTCCAGCTGGTGAGGAGAGGTACAGTACAAGGGGGGTTGGAGAAAAGAAAAGCAATAGTTCAATAGTTGCGTTGTTGGCATGGCAAATCTTAAAATTGTATTGGTAAAACAGTTCTAAAGTTTACATCATTTTTGTTGGAAAATGTAGTTCATACCGATACCCTACCCCTAAACCTAGCCATAACTGTAAATTACTCCCTAAATTAGAGTTCAGTAATAGTTGGATAACAATCAAGTAGATGTGCATAAACCTAACCATAAGCCTAAACTGAACATAAACTGTAAACGTACCCCTTATTTCTGATGGGCTGATTGGAATGTTGTTCAAGGATCAAAATATAGATGTTTATCCAGGTACATGAGGGTGAAATTAGGTCGGCGATAAGGTACATGCGCAACTTTTAAGAAGAATCCAGAAAACACAAAAGAGTGGGAGTTGTAGAGTATGACAGTAGGCTGATGTTCTAATCCAGGCGGATGTAGTGCTGTGTTCTGAGTGTCAAGCAGTTCTACCTGGTTCTGATTGTCCTTTTCGCTGACCCCCATATACTATAGCTGTCTTTAAGGGCCCTGTGTTCTGACCACCAGATTGTGTTCTGATCTGTATCATTCTATCAATATCAAATCGAATAGCTGGAATTGGATTGTTGTGTTTGATTTTCTTCAGAGTTACTCTCAAGTGTTTTGAAAAACAAATGTGCTTAATTGACCAATTCGCAATCCATAGTTAACCAATCAGGGCCTATACCTGCACAAAAAAAGCACCAAAAGTACAGCATCCGTTACGACCTGAGTGACTCTCACACACAGACACACCAGCGACACGCACGCACCACATGGCTACAATAAAGGAAAATTTTATGATTTGTTGTATAAACACTTCTTATATATTCGAATGTTTGGGTAACTTGTGTATTGTTTGCGTCAATGTTGTAACCTAATTGTCGCGTTATTTGATGCCTTGAGCGCTTTTCATAATGAATCTCGAAGCTGCTTTGCAGAAAGTGTAACTTGATGTATCAAAGTGACGCCAATGTTTGTGATCATATATTAATTCGGGCTGTAACATAAACGTTAGATTCTTAAGACTCTGTGAATTTTAGTGTAGAGCTGGAGTTCCTAAGGGCAATGTTAACTGCATTTGCGTATATTCACATACAGACTTACCTATAAACTTTTCAAAATAATGTCAGAATTAATGTCATTTCCACGCTGCATATTTTTAACCAGGATGTTTCAATCATTCTTGTTAACCTACACGTGCAGCCAAAAAGGTATTGACTTTGATCCACGCAAAATAGGAATTTTGAAAAATAATGCATCAAACAAGTTAACTTAAGTCATTGCTCAAATGTGAAGATGCGTGTATTTTTTTAAATCCACCCCACAAACACACCAACATGTGCCTGAGGTCAGAGGAAGTGACAGGGGGATTTGACTAAGTTTGTTCGAATATTTTAATTCATTCATTCATTTTCTTTTTGGCTTAGTCCCTTTATTAAGTCCCGGGGTCGCCACAGAGGAATGAACCGCCACTTATCCAGCACATGCTTTACGCAGCGAATGCCCTTCCTGCTGCAACCCATCTCTGGCAAACATCCATACACACTCATTCACAACAGACAATTTCAGTCTACCCAATTCACCTGTACCACTTTTGTTTAAACTGTGGGGGAAAACGGAGGAAACCCACACGAAAGTAGGGAAAACATGCAAACTTTACACAGAAACGGCAACTGACCCAGCCGAGGTTCGAACCACCGACCTTCTTGCTGTGAGGTGACAGTGCTGCGCCACCGCGTCCCCCACAAAAGAATAATGTGTGCCGTTTTAAAATGTTACAAGCCCTGGTAGCCATTTGGCACACAAATTAGGGCGAAGGCACATTTTCAACCTACTTCAAAATATCTTTGTTTTTGTGCAAACATTGATTGCTCAAATGTGAAGATGAGTGTTCTTCTCAATATTTTTCAGGAAGGAAAGGCTCCTGATCACAATACTGATGACGAGATGCGAGATGCCACCCATTTGCAAGATGTAAATGTGCCAGAGCTCAAAAGGAGAAGATTGAGAGTAAGTTTTTTTTTTTTTTTTTTACGAGGTCTTGATTTGTTAATTTTGATTTGTTAATCTTGATTTGTTAGTTTTCTTTTCAACTCAGTCCCTTTAATAATCCGTGGTCGCCACCGCAGAATGAACCGCCAACTTGTCCAGCACATATTACACTGGCAAAG